ATGGACTAGCTAAGCAAGGGGTTTCAAGGGATCATTTGTTTTGGGCTGCTATGTAATTTTATTTCTGTTTATTTCTGCTTATCCAGTTCTTAATTGATGTAATACTTTGTTAGAAGAGGTAACAGCTCGTGCCTCTTCATGGGTTTCCTGTATTGCCTTATATTCTGATTTAATAAATATTTTCATTCATCAAAAAAAAAAAAAAAAAGATAGGGAGTTCTGGGTGTTTTCACTTAATTCAGGGATCCAATGACATTTTCATAATAATGGTGAACAGTATTTTACCCTAGATTTATTTTATCAACAAAAGGAGATTTTATTAAGGAAACTATAAGGATACACCAAGGGGGAAACTCTACCTGAGAAAGCAAAAATTACAATTTTACCCAAAACAATTGATGCCTAAAAGCCCCTTGTTTTAGATAGAGCATCTGCCATCCCATTAGCAGTTCTCCTCACCCATTTAAAATTGACAGTTAGCTCCCTTGTTATACTTTCAATCTCCCAAATGGTGTGTTTATAGATCCAAGGGATTTGGGTGTTACTTCTTGTCCAATAAATGACCACCTGAGAGTCACCTTCCAGGCTTCCACCTCCAACTGTTTGAATCCAAGCTGCTTTGCAAGCTTTACACCTTGGAATAAGGCCATCAGCTCTGTGGTCACTGAGTCACCATGCTCAACAGGTCCTGAAAATAAAGCTAGTACCTTGCCCTCTGAATCACAGAAGACCCCTCCTAACCCTGCCACACCTTGGTTGCCTATAAAGCTTCCATCAAAGTTGAGTTTTATAGGGCTGGTCGCCGGAGGTCTCCATTCCATGACTATTCTTTCCTTGTCTTGAGCCAAAAGTGCTACTTCCTGCCAATGTCTCAAAATGTCAATCAATGAGAAGACTTGAAAATCTCCCAAAGTCTTCACCCAATGTGCCACCTTTACTTTTATTCTGTCTAAGACTTCCAATTAGGATTGGCTCTTCTCATTGAAAATCCTGGGTTGGGGGATGGGCTACCCCCCATTGTATAAACCTTCAAAAGACGACAAATAAAGAGAGAACAAAGATGCTCCCAAATACAAAGCACAAACTGGCAGGAAATAAAGATAAGGGAAATGGATTCACCGCTTTCTTTGCAAAGTATGCACATATGAGGGGAAAGGTTTTTTTTTTTTTTTTGCAAATCTTTCCACCACTGGTTTTCAGAATCTTTTTGATCTTGGATTCCCACCCAAGGGTAGACCTAAGTACTCCAAGGACCAATCTTTGACTTCACAGCCTAAGATCTCTGCTATTCTGATTATTTCCTCCTCTTGCAAATTTATGCCCGCCACACAGCTTTTTCCCAGGTTAAACCTTAATTTTGATATGTTCTCAAAAGAGCTAATGAGTTCCTTTAGGTTTCTTAGGGAATCTAGACTTTCATCATCACAGAAAAGAATTATGTCATCTGTAAACTGCAAATGGGTAAGCACTACCTCATTCCCTATCCTCCATCCTCTAATTAAATTTCTAGATCAGCCTTAATAACCAGTTTGCTTAAGACCTCAACAATCATGGTGAAGAGGAATGGGGATAATGCCCCCAGCCCCCCTGTCTCAGGCCTCTCTTAGCTGGGAAATTATCTCTAGCACTCCCATTGATCAGGATTGAGTATTGCACCAAACTCAAGCATCCCTTAATCCACATCCTCCACCTATCCCCCAACCCAAATCGTTCCATTACCCCTAGAAGAAAATCCCATCCCAGAAGATCATAATCCTTCTCTAGGTCTAATTTACAAATGAAGCCTTTCCCTCCACTTCTCTTCTTGACTACGCATTCATCTGCCACCAAAATCTAATTGAGAATTTGTTTGCCCTCAATAAAAGCACCCTAAAATGGTGAGACTACTTTGGGTAAAACCTTTTTTAGTCTGCCTGACAGGAATTCTGCTATTATTCTGTAGAAGCTTCCCACCAAACTAATAAGCCTAAAATCCCTTGGGGTTTTCACTTCCTTCCTTTTGGGCAATAACGCAATGAATATGGCATTTGTTCCTGGAGAAATCTCCCCTTTCTGATGAAACTCATCAAAGACTTCCTTTAAATCATTTTTTGAAGTCTCCCAACAGTCTTTAAAAAAATGTCATAGTAAAGCCATCCAGCCCAAGGGCTTTTGATCTCTCAGTGGAAAACACAGCCTCTTTAATCTTCTCAAGGCTAAAAGTAGACTCCAAGGCTCTAAAATGAATATCTATCACCATAATGGGGTAGCTGAGGCTGCCCAATCTTTCTTTTCTAATTAATAAAATCTTTCTTGGTACTGATTAAAAAAAAAGAATATCTATCACCCTTTCCTAATCCAAATTCAGGAGTTCTTGTCTACACCTCTACTTTGGAGCAGTGTTTTAAAAGCACAAGGCGCAACTTGCACCCAAGGCACAAGGCGAGGCTTGCAACTTTTTGAAGCAAGATGCAAAAATACAAAAAATAAAAATAAAAAAAAAAGTCAGAAAATTCAAAAAATGCCAAAAAAACAAAAACAATAAAAAAATATTAAACATAATATTAATAAAAATAAAACTTAAATTTTAAAATAAATATTTAAAAAACCTATTATCTAACATTAAAATACATAAATATAACATGTAAAGCATATCCAAATGAAAATTTAAAAATAAAATCAAACATATAAAACATTTTCAAGCATGTAAAACCCACAATCTCGTTTTTTCCATAAATGCATCACTTCAAGTAGCTAATGTGATGTAAAATATATTGCATTCTTGATTCTACGAGTCGCCTTTGTACCAAGCCCCTCAAGGCAAGCCCAAACAAGTACACCCCCTATTTCGTAATGTTGTTCATTCATTCATCCTAATAAAATATCTTCTTAAAAGGTAATTAAAATTATAAAATCATTATTTTTGTGTGAGAATTAAGAATTTACGACCCTAACATGTACTTGTTCAGTTGTTTGGGCTTGCCTCGAGGAGCGTGGTCGAGGGTCCAAGGGCAGAGCCCCCAACTTAGCCTCTAGGTTCAAAAAAATCAAAAAAGCGTAAAATTTTAAAAAGGTGCACACCTAGGCTGAGGTGTAAGGTGCATCAGACATGCCTGAGGCATGCCTTTTAAAGAACTTTTGGAGAAGACACCTTTAAAATAATCCACAAACACTTTAACAATCTCCTTTCCCTTCTAAACTCACGAGCATCCAACTCTACACTCATTATGAAATTCTTCCTCTTTCTTCCACTTGCTATAGGTGGAAGAATCTCGTGTTTCAATCCCCCTCCTGAAGCCACTTGCATCTAGATTTTTGCCTCCAAGAAATTTCTTCCCTTCTTAGGATTTCTTGCAATTCCATCTTCAATTTCCACCTAGGAACTCAAGCCACATATTTTCAAAATGAAAGGGTGAGGGAAGGTTCCTCAAGCCACAATCCTAAACAAACAGGATTATGATATAAAGTTACCCTAGGCAGGGCCCTTGCTGTTAGGTTTTCCCACAAGTCTTCCTAGTCTACCAAAAAGGGAAACCTATCAAGTTTAGAGCAAATTGGGATGGCTTGAAAGTTTGACCAAGTAAAGACAGCATGGAGCAAATTGGGTTGGCTTGAAAGTTTGACTTGGATTATTTTAAAGATGAAAAGTGTAGTAAATAATGCTTCTTCTTGATTAACCATTGTTCTCCTTTCCTCTTTGGTTGTAGTATTTTACCCTAGATTGTTATTTTGTCTTACC